GCTTATTGTATGACGGCTGGAAAAATTTCCGCAAGTTTGATTTGCCGTTATATTGGCACATGTTTTGCTTGCACTCGGTGAATATAATATAGAAAAAAAATATTTTCTTAACAGCAAACATACATAATAATAAATTGAAAACAAATGTAGGCATGGCCATGCGCCCATTTAATTATTATTATTTTAATTTTATTGAATGAATGTTTCTTGAAGAAAATTATGCTTTATTTATTTTAAACGGTCTTATACACAAATTTGTCACTTGTGTTATTGAAATTGAAACCATCTAGACATACTAAATGGGTACTTTAGTTTCTTCTTATATTCTCATTGTTTTGGACCCTAAAAAACCAAAATTAATATATTATTGAATATCCAGAGGACTGTTATGACTAAACTGAACGATTTTGCGGAATGTTTAAGAAGTTGCATCCACTTGTGAATTCGAAATAAAAGCTATTTTTGCAATATGTATGTATATATCACCTTAAATGCAAAACAACATAATAATAATAATACACAACGATTACCCTCCTCCCGCCCAACCGATCTTAAGCTGCTCAGCTACAGAAACAAAAATTTCATCAGCCAAAATTAAGAATTAGATTATAGTTTATAATTTTTAAACGTTACTTGTTAAGAGTAGATAAAATATTTTTTTAATGGTAAAGAGAGAATCTGTTAGATCAAATGTGCTGGAATGAAAATTGAAATCGTGACATATACGGCGGAATGGTTCGTTTAACTCGAAATTTGTTCTAGAAAATTTTAAAAGCAAAGGTTTAAACTGCCTGGTAGAGCGAGCGGGAATGTTAAAATTAATATCAGGCAAGAAAGATGGGCTAGAGACTGACCCATTGATGAGTTTTACAAGAAATATTATACCATATCATCAAAGAAATCGAAACGTATTTGTAGGAATTCTTTAAGTGAGGAAAATTTTTGGCTGAACCAATCAGTTTGAAATTTTCCCCGGATCTTCTTAGTTATACTTGTCAGGTAATAATCAGCGATTTTTTACAATTATTTCGACTTTTTAACCACTCTGAAGTCTAATTTTGGTACAGGAAGCACTTTTGTGAGAAGCCGTCAAAAATTAAAAGCAAAAAATCTTCCACACCGCCTGACACATTTTTCGGTGGTCCTCTAAGAGATCGGCTACAGGAACAAAGAAATCCAGAATTTTTCAAAGTCAATCGCCGTTTATTAAAGAATTTCAAACTCCGTAAATGTACATTATTTTGATTCAGTTATAAGTAAAATGTCTTTAAAAAAGTCGCATAAAACGGGTTTTTATTTTTTAATTTCAATTTCAGCCTGATACCTCTTAATACTCACTTCCAACCAGTGTAAACCAGTGTAACAATAATACTGTTTTATTCAAATTGCCATCTCTTGTTTTTCTCACAAAACTTGAAAGCCTATTCAGGGCATTGTATACGGGTAGGGAAAATAATAGTTATTAAGTCTTTTTTAAATGCATCACTTCTGTCAAATATGTTAGAAAGATTCTTATTGTTGCTATAATCGAAAAATAGCTTCTCCGATTCAGCTTTTATATTCTCAATTGAGTCAAAACGGTTGGTGGTTATGTGATTTTGCTGAATAGCCAGAAGTTACACGAATGTAAATCTGGCGAATGCAGTGGTTGCGGCAGGATATTAGTTGAAAATGTGGCGAAATTACCACGAATAACCAATGCAGTATGTGATGGTGTATTATCGAACTTCTTTGTTTAATAAATTCAGACTTAGTAAAAATCGAAGTATTCCCTTTTAGAGCCTATCTCAAATACATATGAATATTTTGACGTGAAATTTAGAAAAGACTATCACTAAAAGTTCTACCGATTCGAAAAACACGCGAAGTATAAATTGTTTCAATTTGATTACAGTAGTATACATGGAACGAATCAGGCACAATTCATGAAAATGTAGCGTTAATAAGAACTGAGCACATGCCGCAAAAAACGTCCTCCCAGCGAAAAATTTCAATAATATCGAATTTTTGATGAGAAATTAGGATGAAACATAATAAACTTGAAGTGCGAGAAACAGCGTTAAATCTAATTTAAAAAAATTAAAGAAAAGCATTTTCGAATGAATGTATAGTATCATTTGACCGATACGTGAAGCTTTCTCAAGGCAAACTACAAAACACAATCGTCGACTGCAGTCGTTCGAATTCTTTACATAGTCGACCCAACGGTTTGCTAGCACTTCAAGCCGATAATATAAATTTTATTACACACTAATCAAATAGTATAATAAGTCATTATCTTAAGTTGCCAAGCAGTTGCGAACCCTCAACAACTGACAAGTATCGCAAATTTAATAATCAGATAAATTGTAATACTCTATAAGAGTCTGCCACGAAGGTAGACAGCATTAAGACCAGTTAGTGATGGGTACAATGGCTCTGCTAATCTTATCAATTTCATCAATAACTCTGTTGTCTACTGAACGATAAGTGGATCGAATAAATAGCAACAGGTGTAAAATTACTCAATTGTCACCTAGTCATAAGAAGAACTCTTTCATCACACTTTTGCCACTTTTTAATAAAGAGTTAGTATTTTTCAATTTTTCGTGTTTTGATGTTATGTTTTTAACTTAGCTGAGAAGTATACAATTATTGTACCTTTTGATAATAATCCTGGCTGGGCATAATATAATAATTAACATTACTATTATTGTGCGACTTACTTTATTATATTAACAAAAAGCCTTTAAAATATTATTATAAAACTGCAGAAAATATTTTGTATAATTCTAAAATATAATAGTCTTAAACATCTAACAAGACGATAAAATTTTAATGTTTTGGAATCAATTGGATCGTTTTGATAGCTTTCAAATACGAATTAAGAACCGAATTAAGAACATAATACCAGAAATTACTTAGAAATATGTTTTTAAATTCTTATCTTAAGTTATTTTTATAAAAATTCCGGATTACACAGGTGATATTAACTAAAGTGGTTTAAACATGGAAGATTTTTTCTTGAAAATATTAAAGTCATACTAACTGGGTACTTTGGTTGTGCAATATTCAAGAAAGTTGTTTAGTAATGTTTACCTTTACATAAGTATACAAGAATATGAGAATATGGCTGTTAAAACGTTTGTTAATCGGCTAATTTAACATTTGATTTTGTTTTCAATTTATTATACTCTGAACAAATACTTTTCTTCTCAAGGACCTGCTGCTCATTTGTCGGAACTGCCGATATCGTACGACCTTAGTATACGAGTATAGCTGTCCGTTCAAAATCGAGCCTTTGGATTGAGAACATTTTTATTTGATAAGGAATTTTCTGAGGATTAATGTGTTGTCCAGGGCAATGCTACAGCCTGAGGAAAAATTTTGTTTAGAATGAACTAATAAAGTAGCATATAACTGCCATTTAAACTGACTGATCAGAAACAAGATAAAATTCTTTATAAAAGATTTGGTTCGTTTCGTTTTCAAATGTGATAAAGTATTGCTGTACTTTTAAAGCCAAGTGCCCAAATATTTTGTTTGTTTGTTTAATCAAACTTTGATAATTCATGCTTAGAATAAGTAAATATGCCAGTTAATCAAATAATAGAGCAATTAAACTTGGATTAAAATAAATTTTGATTAATACTTAATCGCACAGAACTACTGAGTAACAGAATAGAACAAGAGGAGCATCAATAATTTTGAACGCCTGTAAATTTGGACGGCCAGACTGCCCACGCAAACCGAATATACATTTGCGTAGATTGATACAGTTTTCTCGAATATAAGTGTAAAGTTTATTTTCAATATGACGCGATCTCTCTGACGACTTTTACCATGTAACAAAATCTAGCAAGGAGTTTGGTTAAAGTTTATGTTTTGATGGGTCACGAACATAAGTATTTGAGTGTAAAGCTTCTATTCCTCTCGGTTAATGAATTTAAAGAAACAGTGCTAAAAAATCCCCATTTTGGCATCACAGAGTTAGCAGAGAATCTGAAAATACCTTATGGATCGACCCAACACAATTTAGTTAATGTTTTAGGTAAGAATTGTGTCGATAATAAACTCGTAGGAAAAGAATCTTTTTTCGAAAACGACATAGCTGAGACCTTATGCTTCTTTTAGTCACCGGCGTACCGGCCTTCCGTAATGACAAGGCCGTTGTTGTTGTTCTCATTTGAGTACTGTATACATTTTGTAGTAATTAAAAATAAACTTGAATATTTTTGAAATATTCTTAAACGAACTCAAAATGGCAGTTCACAATTATATTTAAGTACAATTAGGTAGACCATTTTTAATAATTGGCCATTTATACAAACAACATTTATACAAATTGTGCAATGGCAAGATTTAAGAGACAATAACAACACCTACGATGTCACTGCGGGAGGGCAGACTAAATGAAGCATTACACTAAACAAGATGTTAATAGTGACCAGACCACCGGTGTTTGTGAATATGATGTCCAAGTTATCCCACAATCTGGCGAATGGCCAAATGAGTCGAAACCAAAATGCTAGGCTTATAACAAATTTATGGAGAATGAATGAGATTAGGCGCTGGCATAGTTGTATTGGCTCAAAAAGAGGCTATTTTGAAGACGTTAATAAACATTTGTATTTGTATACGTAAAAACGTATTTTCTTTGTATCAGTCCAGGTAAAAATTTATTACTGAGTTTTCGAAAGGGTGCTTTTGTATAATTATGATTATTGAGGGTAGAAATTATTAGTTGCACATTTATAACCTTTCTGTTGAATTAATTTTATATTCAATGATTTTAGTCCGGTAAAAATAGACGAATTTGTTGAAAATCGCAAAGTATATTTTTTACCTTTTACTTTAAATATTTTTTTCACACATCGGAAATATGAGGGCTTTGGTACGCTATTTTTGGCATGATTTATCTTTTTGCTAGTTGTAAATTTATGTTACTTTACTCTTATTTTAATTTGAAAATTTTTACTTCACTACTAACAAAAAGTTTAGAAATATTAAAAATTTCTTACCCTTTCAAAGCAATGTGAAATTGTTGAAATAAATTTGTTTGAAGAACAACGCAATTATCATTCGCCTAGTTTAAGTGCTCTTGAAAATAAAGAAATTAGTATCACTAAATTTTATTTTATTACATTCATTTCACTGCAATTGCATACTATAATCATATAATATTTATATACGTATGTACGTAGATACATTTTTTCTATGTACATGCATATATCACATATATTACACATACACTTGCCACTAAGGGGTGGTAAAAACGCCAATGCACTTTTTATTGCTAAACACAAATCAAAATTTCATATTTGCACCACAATATTTGCTTTGTTGCTGTTGTTTGTTGTTTTAATTTTTTATTGTCATTAACTTTACTACCGGCAATCTATGACGACGGCACTAAGAATACACGAACTAGTGCTTTGTTGTAACAAGAATTTGGCGAATGCGTTGATAGTCACGAATGCAACTCGCGCAGTGACTGAATGTCTATGACTAAATATTTTAAAGTTGGCACAAGTTTTGTTTTTATATTACGTTTAGTATTAGCAGCAGTGAATTGCTTTTGCAAACACACAAGCACACGCACACACACCCACGCGCGCAAACAAGTGCTGAGATTTGGTTGCACTCGTGTACATATGTACGTATTAATGACGACTGCTGCATTCGGTTGCAGCAATAGTTTCACGTTCAAATTTTTTCACGTTCTTTCAGGTTCAAGTTCAGCAAGGTCAAAGCAGCATTCGTCTGCATGTTTACAATGTACATATGGCTGCTTCATATATAATTATGTATTTATGTACTATGTATACACAGTTATTTTCACTTTGCCGCTCACTGAGAATTTTCATTCAGCAAACCAATATGTGCACATCACCAAAAATTCAATATTTGAATGAAAATTTCATTACGCAAACATTTTGCCAGCACACAGATGCACACTCTCTTATCACACTTGTGACAGTTTTTTGCTTAATCTCGATTATTTAAATATTTACTAATTTTATTGCCACGCGCCAAGCTGTGTGTCATAAACTAGCTCATAAATTAAACACTGTTATTTGGCACTTCGTTGATTCTAAATTTTTGCACTGCTTTTCGTTAAAAAATAAGTTATGCACATCTGCATACATATACATATATAAATAAGTACATATCGTCACCTGAAATGCAAAATAACATATCATCAAAGGATTCGAAATTGAGTATTTTATTGAATACGATTCACTACTTTAAATTACATACATAATATTACACATGTTCAACAATTTCAGGTTCTGCGCTCAGATATAAACCTATTTTAACCAATATGAAAATTTTTTTTCATTCATGTTCCATTTTATTTCGTGTTGCATTCATGACACTGTAAATTTCCGAAAATATTGTTACGTTATTTTGCATTTCAGGTGACGATTTGTCTGTTTATATACCCCATAATAAATTTAATACCCCTCGTTTGTGCAAATATTAGGCGTAGCTCAGACCCAACGGCTACTTTGGCTTATCACCGTTCCGCACATTTAGAATAGTTCTTAACCACTGACGGTAATTTGCTACACTTTTTCCTTTGCACTTTATTGTTTGAACTGATTGTGACCGTATCGGCGGAATTCTGCTGGCAAACTGTGCATTGGCCGTTTCGAATTCTAACATTTTGCCCTAAGTTGTTAACAGCGAGACACGAATTTGTGAGAATTTCACAATGAAACAAGAGAGTTGCTAACGAATGTGGCTTTCCGGACGCTATTGTATCGTGGAAACAAACATGTTTGTGTACATATGTATGAGGGCCGTAGACCAAACGAATTCAAAATCGTACCGCCGCTCAGCAGACTTTCGAAGAGCATTTACTTTTATAGCAGCACATCGCTTTCATTCTTCACACTCATCGAAAGATTTCGCTGTCCACATTCGAATGGACATGTACATACATATATACATATACATATGTATATGGATAGTTTATAGAATTCATTTTATTTATTTTGAATTTGGCAGACGAATTTCGTGCGTCTAGTATAGAATTGTTTTTATGTTTTTCCAAAAGAAAATGGATATTGACAGGGTTGCAAATAATATATTCCTTATATTTTATAAATTCAATTTACAAATTTCTAATCTCTAATATTGTTGAAAACTAAAAAATATGATTTCCAAATTTAAGTTTTAAAATAAAAAAATATAAATAATTCGCTCTTGCGTATTTCATGTTGTACCACTTTGAACTAGAATTCTCACTGTATCATATTCAATAATCTAAATCAGAGGGCGAACTTACACACGCAAACAATTTTTATTTATTTAAAATAGAATTAAAAACAGAAAATCTGATTTTAATTACAAAATTTTTTAAGTAAGAAACTTATGTCTTCATATGAAATTTGCCTATTTTATAAAATTAATTACTAAATAAATTTAAATAAACGTGTGAGTATTTAATTTAACGAATTTTTTCGGTAAATTAAGTTTTGAGTAAAAAAAGCTATTCCTTTGTTTTTAAAAGTTAACTCTAAAAATATTCTCATCATCCATTTCCCTCTCAGTTCAATGGTGTAAAAAAATTTTTGTCTCTTCTTCGAAAACACTGCAGCGGTCTGGTAGACGAAATGTACAATAATTTTGGTATCTAATTTTGCTTAAAAGACACCACCTCCCCGATTATCTAGCTAGGACCCATCCGTATAGTTGCTTAACCCTGCGTATCTGGAGGAAATGCAATTTTGGGTACCAAATTTAAGTTCACTTATATTAGATAACTAAAAATCCGTATATTGCGTAGTGGAACTTACTAGTATCTTAGAATGCCTCTTATTAAAGGCAAATAAAAGGAAGGGTTCTTTTAGTCCAATAGCTGACTTCGCTGCCAGCTGCTTACAGAACAAATTTGTTGCCAGAAAAGTGGTGATAACACGCCTGCTTGAGGTGTATTTCTTTGGACCTATCTGCACATCAATTAAGCTGCCAGCGTAGAATTTATTGTCCTGCCCATGAGCATATCTTCAATAAATTTCGCGAGAGGTTCAGAGATGCCCAAATCTTTAAGCGCACTGTATGGCTTTGGGCTAGAAGTTTTTGAAAGAACCTTCTAGACCTATGAAGGCTACGATGGCGTTTTGTTTTACCTTCACAGATTTTCCAATCTTTATTACCACTGAGAATAGTGCTCTTTCCTTGGATTTTTCTTTAGAGTATGGATGTTACAAAACTGCCAGTTTTTCTGGGTTTAAATTGTTTCTTATGTGTATTTCAATTAGTATTTCCAAAAAAACTGCAAATAAATACTAATCGGTCTAAGCCCCTTTGGATTTGTATTTAAGCTTTTGCTTGCCTTGCCTATATACATATATTTCTTTGCCTTTTCCTCAACAATGAAGGAATATAGTTGCATTGTACCACCCTCCTAAGGTTGTAAGGTCTAACCAGGTCTAATGTGGCTTAAGGACAGTTGTAATTAAGCTGGGAATAAACCTTAAGGTCACTGCGGTTTGAAGGGCTTGAAATTTCTTATCGTCTAATATACATGCAAAATGGTACAAAACGGTAAAATATTGAAACATACACTACTCCTGAATCCTGAAAGAAAAATTTGGTACTGATGTGCTAAGAAGTCTGTGGGGTGCCCTGATTATGAATTTGAATTCAAAATTTTCTCTCACGTACATTTGCTTTTGTCATTTTAGTAAATGGTGGTGGTTTGACAACACACCCTACACCCTCGGACTACAACACAAAAAAGTTTACGTGTTAGGAAATTTTTACTATCATTTTCGGTTTTCGCAATACCATAAATTAGCACGAAATAGCCTCTAATATCACAACCACAAAATTACTGTAAAATAGTGTTATCAGCATTGGCATAGGAGTATATTAAAGCCTCCTGTACTTACTGATTTTCCTAATTCAAATTGAAAGTACGACTAATAAAAATTAAATTTTTTTACAATAACAACTTGATTTTGATGACTTTTATATTTTAGGTACTTCTTTATAATATTTTCCTTCATAATTTCACTATTGAATAAAAATGTGTCTAATTCTTGAAAACTAGCATCGAGGACACAAAAAAATAATGCATTTTATGCGATATGATGATCTCAGTATGAATGGTTTTGATGCAAAGTGCAGCCCAAACAGTCACTTTTTGATCATGCAAGTACATTTCAAAGATATCGATTAAATTTTTTCCCAATGCTTATTAAATCTCTAATAGATTTTTATAGAGAATCGCAGTAAATTGGTTTAATTTTCGAAATTTATAGTGAACTCAATCGGCAAGTAAATATCACAGCTTTTGAACTTAAGAAAAGACGCACTGACTGATTGAATATGACAGAATATATTTTAAAATTTCATCAGAATTTTCTAAATTAACCAAAACATTGTTAATTAAACGAAAGCAGATGATTGATTGCTTTAATTGATTTTGAGCATGTACCAATTTTTTTTTATAGATTTTGATTTGAAAATGCATAGCATATTCTAAAATCAAATTTATAAATAAAAAGTGAAAGTTTAACAAATTTTTAAAATCTTACTGCGAAATTTAGTACTGCTCATTTGCTACTATAATTCTTTCTTTATTCATTTAAATATGTGATTCAAGTCTGAAAATCTGAAAGAGAGAAATTCTAGTTTTCTACCTTACCTTCAGGCAGGTCTGACGTTTCAACAAATAACCACAGAACCCTTTAAACGTAATATGTCATCGCTAAAAAACTAAACTTCTAACTGTTCAATAATTCAAAGCTTGCTTACTATGGGAAGCCGAAAATGCCACTAATAAGCTAAAATGCCAGTAACAATATTCTGATTTATATGAAAGTGAATACGAATGTGGAATATGTTCCAATTTTTCGCTAATCACAGGAAAAAACTTTTACAGGTAAGTTAAGTGAAAATGTAGTTAAAATACAAATGTATCTTTATAGCCGAGAGAACGAAAACTCGTTTGAGCGTAATTTTAGAATTTTATTTAAATTGACGCATGCGCTGTAGCAGCATTTCTTGCCGGTAAAACATAAACAAAACAACATTGGTTTGTAATTATTGTATTAAATGAGCTTTTCCCTCGGACTTGTTGAATAGATATTTCATTATAAAAATACATATATATTTACTTATACTACAATAGTATATAGCTTTTCACGTATTTTATTGCCATACTCTCTTTCTCTCTTAAAAATCAAGCATATGGTTGCTACATTTCTTAGCTTTAGTTTTTAAAATTATGACAATATAACTCTTAACTTCTGGCCAGTAAATTACTATAAATTGCCATTGCAAAATATTTCAACAAAATGTTTCTATTCAAGAACCCTTCTTTGTTTTTTTTATATTAATTTTTTCATTCTGTATATTTCTATATATTTATTCACTGTCGTGAGCTCTCATCAGAAGAATGCACGGATATTGAAAATATGGCTTTAAATTATGTGCTATTTAGCATAAAGCAATTTAGAAGAAGCTCGGAATAGCCATCTACAACCACAGTAAATATGAACAGATCGAAGGTAAATATCTCAGGCTAATATTGCGCCTACTTCAATATACCGATGCGTTATAAAGTCAACCATAGGGACAAAATTCCTTGTATTGGATATAAATATGAAGGAAAAGAGAACGAATCAACTCAATTCAATTAAATTTTTAATACCATATCACGTTACGTCTAAGATAATATGTCAAGGAGCAGAGTAAAGATTTTTAAGTTAGGTATAGGAAGCTAGAATAAGGTCTTAACCCAGTTAAAATACTTTTAACGCTAAATCCCATTATGGTAAGGAAAATCTGTTCATTTAAAAGGCACATATTGTGTGAGGGATAACTAGGACACAAGTGATACAATCAATATTATATAAATATATTTTTGTTGCAGGTTTCATCCATAGAAAACGTTGGAATCGCTGCAGCAGTGGACAACTCTTTCATTTTTTCTTTAAAATTGTTTATACCATATTCTTAATATATCTCCTCTTATTTGCATAGACAACGCTTGTAGCTGAGTTCACAACATCACCCCAGTCGTTCTTCCTTTTAGTTCTTTCACGCCAATTGGAGAATTCCTCAACCTCAGTTTACATACCAAATTCAGATACAGCGGCATAAAGGCAGCTCTTTTTCGTGCTGACAAAAGGAGCTTGGAAACGGACGAAAATGTGGTGTGTGACCTCTTTTCAAGGTTCTTTTCCAATATTTGGCGCATGGCGGATACTCGTTGTTGATTTTCCAGGCCCGCAGCTACACCTATCCCATGGTAGTTGGCAGATTGTGAGATCTCCGTTTTTATGGATTGGGCTGAGCATACCTAAATTCCAATCTACGATGTTTTCGTCCGACCATGCTTTCTCCTTATCAATTGTTCGCCGTTATATTTAAATAGCTCGGCCGGCAATGGATCAGCCTCATCGCTTTGTTGTTCTTCAGACGTGTAATTGCTATTCGAACTTCTTCATTATTGAGCAATGGAATGTCTGCTCCATCGTCATCGACTGAGGAATCGGGTTCACCATCTCCAGGTGTTATGCTTTCACTGCCATTCTGCAGGCTAGAGAAATGTTTCTTCCATAATTTCAGTATGCTCTAGACAGACATCAGTCACTGGATCACCTCTGGGGGTTCTATATATATTTTTAAAGTTTTAAAGCCATTGATATAGTATTTTTTTTTTTATTCCAAAAAATCGCCCCTTTTAGGCTGTCATACTATGTGTACTCTTAACTTTATTAAAATGTATGACATATTGACATTAATGGCACAAAATTGACGGGAATGTCGAAATCCACCATATTGTGGTACTGCAGCTAGGAGAAGGCTAAGCCAATTTCATACTCAAAAGTATAGTTAACTCATCTAATTGTTGGAAAAACGGGTTAATGTGATACACTCAGTTGGTAGCCCCAAAAGACAAACAAACTAAAGAACCAAGAAATTGTATTGAGCTTTATTGAATATTAATTTTAGAAACTATTTACATTTATTTACAACCAAAATAATTTACTCCTTAAGATTAAACTGCTAGCTTACTGTTTGAGATTTCTCCTTTTTCCCTAACATGCGACGCAGCAGATACTCCAATAGCCAGATGAGCAAAGCAAGCGAGGTTAGTAAATTGAGGAAATGAATTGTCATTGTATAACTGCTGGCATCGGTGATGACACCTAAAAAATATATGGTTAATATAATAAACAAAACTAGTTACCGAAAGAATTATACTCACCTAAAATTGGGCCAACAGCAAGTGTGAATAAAGTATTGCATACCAGCTGTAGACCAGATGCCGCTGGCAAACGCTTCAAAGGCACATATGAGGGTATGATAAGAGAGGAAAATATCGTACGAAAACCTCTACCAAAGCCTATGAGCACAAAGAGTGCCAATGTAAAACGATAGGAGTCGGTTAACGTAATCAACAGGCGTCCGAGGGAGATGGCAATAATACCAAAGGCAAATAATAATTGATTACTCAAATTTTTAGCCCTTTCCAGCACAATTGGTGCCAGGAAGCGTACGCAGATATCCATGCCACCCTGCATGGACATAGCGGTAGAGATTTGTTCATTACTATAACTGTATTGATCCAAAATGAAGGGTACCAAAATGGAAAAGTTTATCTCGGCAAACATCATCACTGTCATGCCCATAGCTAAATTGACAAAAGTGAAATCTTTCAACAGGTCCAAGTCAAAGAATTTCACCAACTTCTGTTTGAAAGTCAATTTGTCCGTGTGAGTGTCTGATTTCGGGTCTAAAAGCTCAATGTTCTCTTGGTTTGCTACCAATATTATTGATGGACTTTTCAGTTCACCGCTGTTGTGGTCTCCTAATAATGCTCTCTCTTCAGCGCAGGTGCAGCGGAACTCTGTTGGAAAATTCTCTTTTAGGACATGATTTACTTCATCACTGCTATTTTCTTTCGCTTCCTGATCTTTAATGTCTTCATCATTATCCTCTTCCGCCTCAGCAATTGGTGCTTTTTGAGTTGTCTGTTTCTCAAGCTTAGTATATGGCAAGTTCACTGCTTCAAGCTCATCGCTGGCTCGTGATATCAATGGCTTTTCGCATTCACGAAGCTCACGGCTCGATTTAGCCAAGTCATGGTCGTCAAAATCGAATTGTGTTGCGACCACACTGGGGCTGGTACGCTTCATATATTGACAATACTTGCATTCAGGCTCTATTTCCAGCTGTGTTGTAGATTTCTTGCATTCCGACTCGACTTGAAGCCGCGTTGTGGCTGATTGTATCGTAGTATTCAAACTATCGGCTAAAACAGGCTCTTGTAACTTCAACTCACGTTCGACGGGCGCTTTGGAAGTATGCCATAACACTGGTTGCAGTGTCAAAGCACAGAGAAACACATTTAGAGAAATTCCAGCATAAATTAGAATTGTACCCGGACTTCCATAATAGATTAGTATTAGTGTGGTGAAGTGTGGAAATATAATGGGTCCTAAACCGGTAATGGTCCACATAAAGCCGAATGCACGACGTCGCCGATTTTTGAAGTACGTATTCACGGCCAACGATAAAGCGGCCACGTTGAGACCCTGACCGATGCCTATTTCGAGGTAACGGAAGCAAATAAAGTCGGTAAAGAAAACTTGCTTCCAAGAACTTACCATATATGACCGATACGCAAAGCACATACTGCCAAAATGTAGTACAAGCAGCTGATAATAAAATACCACTAAATATCAAAATGCTGCCGGCAATGGCAACCTGCCGAAATGTAAATCGTCGAAACATGGCACCATTTACAATGCCTAAGCAGCATAAAAAATAATATGGTCTTTAATTGATTATGGTATACTACATTGGTATTTTGTATTTACCAACTAAGGATGCTAAACTCAACATGATGTTCGCGATGGTGGTGGTCTCTTTGGCAGAGAATCCCAAATTAAACATGCGCTGTCGATAAATCATGCCGTACTGTTGTAGTGGTGGATACATGGCCAGCTAGAGAGAAAAACTTTCATTCAATTTTTGGTAAATAGATACCGAGCATTGCAATTACAGTGACTTACATTACTTAGACCAGCAGCTATGCAGACGACCCAACCCCAGCCGCCATCGGGCGCCACAAAGTCGGGACCCAAATCACTTTTATCACGTCGCTTGTGTTTCTTTGGCATTGTGGATGGTTATGTCTCTTTAATGTCTAACTAAATTCCTGGAACTAGAAAAATATATTTTGCAAACAAAAAAGATATTAGAGCTTTCGGGAAACCTAATTTTCTCAATACAAGCTTGTTGTCCAGATTTTTTTGTGATTACACTGATTAAACGTGGATAATGCATTTTAGATATTTGTAGATTATTTTCGCTGATAACAAAGCCATAATGAGTTTGGTACTTTAAATATAGAACCGGTTGGTAAACAGAAAATTTTTCGTGACCACTAAACACGTTTTTTCAATACTTTTTTTTTTTTGTTTTTGAATATGAACCGCGGGAACAAAGGATTCTCTGAAACATACCTCCGTGCGTTAAGTGGGTGCGGTGCAGTTGCTGGAGTAGAGGATTTTCACGGAAGAATCGAAGCTAAGGGGAAGGAGAGAGTCTGCTGTCGGAAGCTTTGAATCAACTCTGGTTTCATACCTCCAGACAACTGTAGTTCTTTCTAAGTGAAGTGGCAGTCATCAAGGTGGCAGCAGAAGCACATTTCCGAAGTGCGGCCTCTTTTAGGCAGGTATGCATTCACTTAGATATGAGAGTCACAATATAGAGTTGAACTCGCTAGCAGTCAGTTTAAAGTTATTCAAGAAATACAAGACCGCATTGGCTGTGGGGTTAAGGAAGCCTTCTGATTCAGGTTAGAACGTGAAAGGTTTATTGAATTGCTAGCTTTCGTGGAGGCTTTCATCGCCGCAATGATAGGTGACTTAATGGGATCCTGTCTAACTGGTACCCACGCCGTGAGGTTAAAGATTTTTAAAGGACTCAACTATTGAAGATTGCAATAAAGAAGTGAAAATATCTAGATAGTTTCTTTTCCACAGACTAGCTTTCGCTACGATAAGGCTGAAGCATCTTGGGTGCCATAATTTCTACGAACCCGGCGAATCAGCTGGCGGTCTCTAGCCGTTTGTTGATAAGAGACGGTCTTTTGGACCCATTCTTACTGTTAGATGCGCAACTAAGTTCTCGCTAACTTTTTTAATGAAAGCTGAATTTTATTATTATTATACTAACTATTGCCCATCGCTAGACACGACTTTTCTATTCTAAACTATTCATCTTGTGATCCAAGAATTTTGTCGTTTTTCGATATCGCCTTTGTGCTTTTGAGCCAGACAATATGTCATTGAACTTAAGGCCGTGCGTAGTCATTCAGTAGAACCACTTTCTCGTGGCTCACCTGAGGTACTGAAGCATTCCCAGGAATGTAGTTGCTTTTAAATGGCTTGGCGGGGGGCTCAAAATGCAAGCACTTCTTGCGTTCGACACGAATTCTTATCGATCAACGTCTCCAATTTATCGTCTACGAAGGTTTTTGACCTTTTCTACGCGAACCGTCATTTATATCGAAAACGTTGTCTCTAAAGCGACGAAACCAACAACTCCACGTTGTTCCACTTGGGATAGCATCTCCATAAACTTTCTGGAGTTCCCGATGTGCTTTAGCCACCGATTTCTTTGACTGAAAGAAGCGAATCAACACTTCCCGCAAATGACGATTATTTGGGAAAAAATCGGACATATTCACACAGCCAAAAGTAGTTTCTTTTTAAAATGTCTTGGTTAAGCTTGTCGCGTTTTGGATATATCAAAATCGATCGCTACTAACTGCTGAAGCCATCTATTGACAAATTGCGCACCTAATATTTATGCGCATCACAAAGAACAGGCGTTACTAACTGTTCAAGTGGGAATATTCGTGTCCTCACGAGAAATACGTCTATTTACCTAACCAAAATTGCAAAAATTGAGTTTTTTCTGATATTTAAGTGTTTATAACCTTAAAAAACAATTAAATAATTAACGTAACTTTTTTATTTCTGAAATAAGAGAGTCAACTTTCAATTAACCATGTTCGAAACAAAATATTTTTATATGACATCGAAACGTCGCTAAAGTAAACGAATATGTATACTCAAAAATATTTTGTATTATTATATAATTAATTAAACATCTTTATCTACTCTTATCATGTCATTTGCTGTATGCTCTACATATCTACAAGCTTATATGATTATATGCTTTGCTATCAACGTTGAAATCTTCGATATTATTTGGCGCACAAAGGTGCGGACGCAAAATAACGCATATGCATTTATTTATGTACTATATGTATTTCAATATATAACTGTTAATTGCAATTTTGAAATTATAGAGATTACATTGCATTAATCTTTAAAATACCTCCTGTCTAGGGATTAATGACATTGGAGTTAATTTTGAAGTTGATTTCCTATTTATTTTTTGGTGATTATAAATACTAAAAAGTTGTTTTTCGTTACGATATAGCGAGAGATTCAATGACTTTGTTTGAGTTTGTGTAAAAATATTAAAGTGGTAGTTTTTACGTTGAATTGTAGCAGGAAGAGAGAAGAACAAATGTCGGATATATTTATATTATTGTAAGCAGGGTAATTAAAGTGTTATTATGTCAAAATGTACACCTCTGTCAATACCGACTTCACTTGCATATATAGTTACTCCACGGTGGCATTTCCCACCTACCTATCTGCACTCTGACGATCTGACAAATTTCGCTTTTATTTAATGAAAATATGAAAATTATTAACCGATTTTTTCTTTATAAATTTCATTAAAGTAGGTACTTATGCACAAAGTAAGAGAGAAAAGTTAGAAGAGAATGCGTTTAATGCGAGCAACGATCGGAGCACAACTGGCAATAAATAAGTCATCTATAATGTAAATTAGCTAATTCGAAATTATTGAACAGCTTTTAAACTACTCAACAATTTATTTTTTTAATTTTCCAAAATGTATTTTTAATTCTACATTTCCTGTAGCCAAAATGCCGGTGAAACCTGTCACATAATAGTATAGCAATAGAAGAGAGGAGGAAGTTTAGTTTTTAAAAAATAGTTTCAAAAATTTTATTAAAAAAATTTTTTGTTGAAAATAAAAAATTTTAAGAGTTTACATGGGTTTACGGGTTTCTAAAAATCAATTTTTTTACATTATTAAATTCTACAATACCTCTAGAATATTGTCCTCAAATTTCTGTTTATTCGAGTAATAGTTTCCATGCGCCGTCTTTAAAGCCGTTTTTCTCGAAACTGAGTTTTTGAAGTCGGTTGGAAAGATTTCTCGAAAACTACTCAACCGATTTATACAGGTCTTTGAGGTACAGTTCGATTACAACTTTGTGGAAAAAATGTCGCGGAATTTTCACTGAAATTTAAATTTTTTTGTAAAAATATCTGCCAGAAATGTAATTTTCAGGTTTTTTCCTTTCGTCAAAGTTCTAAATTAAGGTTTTCACTAAAAGACTATTTTTTCACATTAGATGATCACGTAAGGAGTTATTGTTGTTGTTACAAATAAAGAGTTTCGAATAAAATACAAAACAAACACTGTGTTACAAAGTGTAGTGGGAGAAGTGTAAAAATATGTGATTTTAAACTCATAGTATCGTTAGAGTTGCCAGACTTACTTTATCCACTTCTATTAACAATTGCAAGACTAAATAAGTAAAATCTTATCAAATAAAAAAGTTTCCCACACAAGGACTTTTATTCGAAAAGTCAACAGCTTCTTAGAGAGCAAATTAGGGGCGCGTGTATGCTTATAGAGACAAAAAGACGAACATGGCTAACTCAGCTTGATCTTTCCTGTACTGATAGGGTCTTCTTCTGACTGTTATAAACTTCGTAGCAAACGTTAAACCCCGTTCGGGGTATAAAAATTAGTAACAAACCATTTAGTTTTTATCTTTCAAAGGGGGAATGATATAAAATTGACTTACTTGTATGAGTGATGAAATTGTATGTAATTTCAAAATTATTAAAAAAAAATGTATTAAAGTTTCAGCTTTTATAAAACATCTATGTCAGCACAAATAATAAATAAAAATCCTCAGAAAACTTAGTTCGAAATGAATTGTATCTTTCCACATATTAAGATAGATACATATAAGATAAAAACAAAATGTTCAGAAATGCATGAAAATATTTATTTTTTTTTTTTGGGTTACAATCTGGCAACGYCGAAAAAATGCAATGAAAGAGAGCTTTTTCGCGGTCACGTTTGTTTACACAGCTCTTGAAGAACAAAAATGCAAAAAAATGCTTCTGAAATAAGTAAGAAAGTATCAAGTACGATTGAGACCGAAGTGTAAGAATAAAAGGAGTAGAAAAATTCGCATGAGTTAGCAAATTTTATGACAAAAAGCGTGTAACATAACAACTGTTCAAAAGAAATGACGAAAATAAATATGTAGCTGGATGGATGTTAGGGAAACGTATTGACCGATTTCCACAATTTTTCGCTGAATTAAATTATAACCGAGTTAAAATTTGTTGTTTGCTGCTCATTAAATGCTGAAATATGGGATTTTTACCTAATATGATGAAATGCTTAAAAGATATGAAAGATTTGTCGATATAGCTTTTCCATAGTTTTAAAAGACAGCTGGTTGCCCTTTATTGTAGTCTTCAGTACCAAATTTAAGATGTTTAGTTTCAAAGTCCTACGTCACTGACACGAGCAGATGGACTTCACGTGTATTTGCAATCAATTCTCCACATCTCCCTGATTGTTTTGATATACATAACTCTATATCTATCTCGCTGAGTTTTCGGTGTTTAAACATCCATCTGGTGAACAAAGCAATTTTACTGTGGACAGCGGTTTTGCGTTGTGTTTCCCATCGCTCTCCCACTGAATAACGCACTAATATACTTTATCTTGTATTTCCCAATGCACTTGACTTTAATTATTCGCCAATACTCACACGTTCGAAAGCACCGTTCCGCTTGTCACTCGTAATAATACTGAGGCTCTAGCTTGCAATTTGCGACTATGCAGCCGAAAGGCGAGAACATTGCATTTATGCGGTCGCAATCGCATTGTTTACTGTTCGAAATATACACAAAAACATATGAGTGATGACATAGTTTAGCAAAGCTCCCGGAGAGAGTTGCCATGTGAGTGTTTTATCAAAACTATTGCACTATATTAAGTTATATTTTTGTTTTTGTAGTGACTTTTTTATTCAACTTAGATACACAATGGCCATTGTATCGTGGAGGGTAAGCTATAAAGTGCGCAGAGGCGATTATAAGCATTCACAAGAGATAATAGACTTTTCGGATATTATACTACTACCATTTAATTATAATAATTAATAAAAGTAAATATTTGATAACCAATAAGCAAGCGAGAGTATCATGATGACTCATACTCAATTGTTGACTATGATCGAAGAGTGGAATGATGAAATTTTAGTGTATGGTTATCAAAGCCTGAAATGATGGTATTAAGATTTGAAGTCCTTGGAGTAGGTAGGTTAGCGCAATGCTATATTTAAATTCGGGGGAGCTGATTTTTTGATGTTGCAATAAGTAAAGATAGAAAGTGGCAAGTGAAAGAAGTAAGCTTAAGGTAATTAGAATGGATTTTACTAAAAAAGGAACCTCTATTTTCGAATATACTCACAATAATTGTTTTCATGGTTTAAGCTAGTATTAGAGGGTTAAGTATGTCCCTTTACTGTGACAGCCTATAAATATCGATTTAAGGAAATTATTTAAAGCAAATACTGTAATATTTGTTTAAATATTTTAAGGCTTTATTTATAAAAATATTAAAATACACAGTAAAACAGTTTTCAAGCAAAATATTTAATATTCTTCGAAGACGCTAAAAAATTCCTAAATCCTACTGTGATTCCGGCTCACTCCGTAGATAAAATATCAAACAATTTTCTTTAGAGATACTCGTACATACATACGTATTGTCTATACAATGACTCATAGTTTAAAAAAATCAAGAAATATCCAAATTGAGACGTTTTAAAAAAAAAAATTAAAATTTACCAAACATTTTTGCCGATTTGGGCCGCCAAAATTAAATTTTTGATTAGATCTAAAAAAAGTAGCTCATTATATTGTGAAAGTTTCTTGAAAAAAATAAAACAAAGTAAGGAATGCTCTATGTTCGGGTGTAACTAAAGACTTTATACTCTTGCAACTTCAGCCTTCGAAATACCTTCTTCTTCTTGATAAAGTTGGCTAATGTAGCGAAAGAAGTTGAAGTTCATTGTTCGACAAAATAGTGAATGGATTAGAATGAAGGAGAAAATTATGCTAAACTAAACTCAAGCCATGTTATATATTTTAGCCAATTTTACATACTATTACTACGCTACATTCTAATTAAATGCTCTATGGGCTTCATTAACATACTCACATACTATAACCAATCTATATGGAGTAAAATGAGCCGGATGCTAAGTCCGATAATTAGTTATACAGGTGCCAGGTCAAGTTTTCACCCGATTTTATTAATTTTGGACAAATAGATACACTGTTACTAGTTAAGTATGTTCTCTCAATTTCATCGAGATAACTCTCGTATTAACCGATATACGCGGTATAATGTTATCCGGAAGTTCGAAAATATTTATATTAGGTAAACTCAACAAATTTTCGACATTTAGAGATACTCGTATTATCAGGAAAGAATATCGATTATATATCTCACAGCTTAATCGATATTTTCGCTGGGGTACACATAATCAGTACCTAGGGACTTGAATAGTTTCGGTTCGATTTCGAAATTTTTTAGTCGTAGGATGGCACAATTCTATAGTAATATTCGTGAAAAGTTTTATTCCGTTATATTAATTAATGCTTTATTTGTATACCGAATGTGAAAGAATCAGATGGAATTTCCAATTATGTCATACAGAAGTAGCCGTGTTTTTTTTTCTCATTTTTACGCAGTGACCTAGGAATATCAGAACAATATTATGCACCGAATTTGGTTGATATCGGTCGAGTTGCTACCGAAATAATGATTTTCACTTTCACTGACTCGCCAATCGTCCAAGTTTGATACCGGATCCAGTACCTTCTCGAATATACAGTTTAATTTACTTAAAAGCTTTTGATTTTTCGCGTTCTGAGATGTGGACGTAATCGGACCACTGCCACACCCACAAAACGTCTTTAACGGAAACCTATAAAGTACTATAATTAAGCACTAAATTAAAATATAAAACTCAGATTTGGCACAGGCGATCGCAGTACCAAGAGGCATCTGTAGGCAATAAATTTTCAAAACGTGATCGTGGCTTCGCCCTCTAATAAATTGAATGTACATATCTCCTAAGCCACTAAAGCTATAGGGACCACATCCGCCTGGCGCAAATGTTATAAAAACTCCAACTGACTGTGAGAAAATGGATGAAAGTGCATGATAACCCCGCTCACTCCTCATATAACGGTACTGTTAAAAACTACTAAGTGACATTAAATTGTTCGCCCAAGTTCGACGTGGCAGTTTAAATTTCGTTTGACTCTTTCATTTTTCAGTATACGAATCAAGAAGTAATTACCATAACGGTATACAAATTTGCACGAATAATGCCTTTGAAGTATGTCCCCTAATGACCAAAAATTTAATAAATGGAACCAAAACTATTCAAGCGCCTGAGTAGCTAATATTTCAGAGTCTATAGTTGACTTTTTACCCAAAATATCGGCCAATGTATGAGATATATAAGTGAAATTCACAGATAATCCTTTTCTGCTAGTTGTGGGCCTGTGTGCTACAAATGAGTTGAATTGGGTTAATACCTCGCTTAGCCTCCATATACCTAACATAAAGATTTTTAAACCTCCGGGTGACTTAATACCGCATA